TAACAAATCAAACAAATATACGGTGAAATCTCTGTAGAATGTCATAATATAGCTTATAAAGAACTCTAAATTCCAGCTTACTTAGAAAACCACTCCCATTTGTTGGATGGAGTTATTTATTGGTCATAGCAGCTGGGGCTGGGGGAGAATAATTGAACTATACATATATTTTAAAGTATAATGTTTTATGTGACCTTCTAATGAACCCCTTTCAATTCAACTTAATTAATCATAACATATTGAAATGCCAGTTGAAATATGTAATTGTTTTCTTAGTTTTAATATAATGTTTAAACAATGTTATGGAGTACAGTATCACATCAAAGTTACTTGGTGCCTGAAGCTGCAATACACTTTTTTGAAAGCCATTTTTTTAAAAAAATGAGGCAACTCATGAAAATGAATAGAAAGAGAAGCAGTGATTGACAGCTTACTTGAAGCATCTGAGTTGGGATAAGATGCAGCTGAAACAGCCTTTGATGTAGTTTTATCTACATCTGTTATTCAAACTGGAAAGGTATGAGTGAATTATGGCTTCACAGCTGAGGAGCAGGTTATAGATTCACATTTTTTAAAACATCTGTGTCCATTAATCAATGCCACATTTTTAAATGGGTCAAGTACATTTTCTTTAACTTATCCAAATCTCTACACTAGTAATTCCAACTTTTTCTTTAGGTAGATCACTACATTATCATTGAAAAATTGTCAAGGGTTATTACATAAACCAGGAATCAGCAACATAATGACATAGGTATCCTGGCACAAGAAGTTTCCATTAGATTCCAAAATTAAATATTTAGAATTGATAATGAGCAATCTTGTGAGATTTTTGGCTATTTTAAAAGTATAGGCCTGAGTTTATTTTGATAGCTGCACTGGAGACAGTCTGCTGTAACTCTGCATTATGATCTATGCATCACAAATTTGGAAACACTGTATTTGACCACTTTTCTCATAAAAGAGATTAAGTTCTCCAAACACTACATCTGGACATTCTAAAGTGAGTCACAGTTAATGAACATTTTTTACTTGATTGGAATTTTTATAGATATTCCTCATTCTACTTTTTTTTTATTTTTAACATTATTACAAAATAGAAGTTAAAATCTTAAAGCAGAACAAAATAATTCTTTATGAATAATAAGTAGGACTTCTGCTTACTAGTTCAATATAAAAACTTGTTTCTAAAACAGTATGATCCAATACTAAACTATGTTTTGAATTTCTGGAGGGAGAACTAAGAACTGATGCTAACACAATTTTCAAGTTTGTAAGCTAACACAATTCATTTTGAATTGCTATTATTTCTATTATAAAATTAAATTTAAAATGTCTAATATTTTAAATATTTATATCCTAACTCTACTTGCCTATTCTCTAGATAATATTCTGGATTATTAGAAAAATGAAAAAAAATCAGCATCTGAAAAACTATATCAAAATAAGAAGAGAAACGTTATTAACGTATCTATACTTTATTTAGCCAGAAATGTTTAAATCATTCAAGTAAAAGTTGTATAGTGATAAAATCATAAGTTAATTACTTATAAAGTTGACACATTTTTCCTTAGCGCTAACCACAAGAAATATATAATCCTTAGAGAGATTCTCATTTTTAATCAATTTTGACAGTTTGGCCTAATCTAAGCGCCAGGGTTTGTGTTGCTCAAAAGCTGACATAAATCCGACATTGAAATAAAGCTGATCGTATATTCGTGGCTAATCACCAGCCACTTGTCCAGTCCTAGACTGGAATCCTCTGATCCTGATAACACAAAATAGTTAAAATAAATTCATGACCTCCTATTTGCCTCTTTTAAAAACTTTTGTTATAATTTCAATCTGTATCTGACAGTGAACAAAAATTTAAAATAATTTATTTCCAGGAACCGAGAAATTGTTTTTATACAACTGTAATTTTTGCTGTTCAGTGACCAGAACTGAATAGAACAAAGCTCCAATTCTTCAAGTTCCTGTTTATATGCATGAAAAAATATGACAATGCAGCAGTTTGCATGTCCAGACTTAGTCCCTAACAGTCTATCTGAAGGTCATTCAGACTGTCTGGGAACAGCTGATTGTTCTAATTTCACTGAATATAGCACAGTCCCACAGTTATCCACTGCTATTTATGGAAATTTGCCCTGAAAGTTCATGTTTGCTGTTTCTGTGCCTCTTTGTGAGAATCATTTGTATGATAATCCCAAGGGTCTGAGTTATTTTGTTTATATCAGATTTCCAAAATTTCCAGGATATGCAAGGGGAGCATTTATTCTTGAAAACATTCCTAATCAGCCAGACACAATTCACAGTTTTACAGGCATTCAGAAATGTCTTGGTTGCAATTTATGTGTGTATTCCTCACTACTTCAAATGGAATTCTGCCTAAGGATCAGCTTAAGCACTTGGTTTCTTCACAGCATTCAGTCATATTGGAAAGAAATTTGGGGAATTTGTTTCTTTTACTTTTGAACCCAAGTGCTATATTATTATGGTCATATTGTAAGAATATATAATTCACCAACAAAATTAGCCATATGAAAATGTATACCAAAATTCTGCAGCTTTTTCACATGCATTTACTTTGGAGAAAAATGATGGGAAACTGAACTGATACAACATATGCACTTTAATATATAAGAATGCATCTAAAATGTGTAGCAGATACCAGACATCCTTGCTATATTAAGATTGATTTCAACCCCACCTCAAAAAAAGGTCTTAAATTTTTGTGTTCTTATGAGGGTGATTTTTAATTTAAAGAAGATTAGCAGTATGTTACAGTTGTTGAATATTAATAAAATCCAAAATTTATTTCAAAATAAAATATTTTATTGGTTTTATATTCTAGTAATTTGTATTCATGAGATAAAGAACAAACATGTTCAGTGCAAAGTTCCTTAAAAATATTTTAAACTTTTTACACTTCAGGTTTAAGTTTGTATCTATGGATTGCTTTCTAAAGTTGGAAATTAGCATGGATGGAGATTTAAGGCAGAGAAAGAATAATTCTCTGCTGAATCACTCTAAGTAGTCCATTTGTACATACACTTATGTGTGCATGTGTCAATCACCATCATTATTGTCATCCCAAATAACTCCATTTCAGGATGAATGCCTGTTAATTGAAATTTGTAGACCATAATTTATCTCTCTGGCCCAATCAGGGTTGTTAGATAGCCTTTTTTATTTCTCAGGTTAAAGTTGGGAGAGACTAACTGGCTGAAAATCACCCAGCTGTCTTCTACACATAAGCAAGAACTACAACCTTTAGTCCAGACCTTAACCACTACATGCTGATGTCTATATGTGTATAGTGTGGATATTGTTATGGTTAATACATGTATATTAAGGCATGTATATTTGGTTAATACATGCACTTTGGGGCAAACTATAATAATTTTTGAATTTGCTACATGGTACAGGAGGTGGAAAATAGATTACTGTACCAGAGGGCCTGTTATTTAAATAAATATAACCATAAAAGCTATATCAGATATCCCAAACCTGAAAGCAATCTTTGTCAATGGCAGTGATTGATAGGTTAACTTCCTTCTGGCAGGAAGAGACAGTCTACTTGAGTCAATTCCAGTCTAAAAATCATTATTTCTTTTATTGTCCTTTATAGTCATCTCTGCAAGGACAATAAGATCTCTAAACAAATTATTTGTACATATATATTCTAAAAGACACGATTTTCTTGTTATCACTTGTGTTATCCAGACTTCTCAGGGTATGGATTCTTTTGCTGCTGTGATCTTAAATATATGACCAACTGATGAGCCTTAATCGCAATAAATTGTAAAAAATTATTCTGATGCTAAAAATGATGAATATTCTGCATTGGGTTTTTAGATGCCTACTTGGCTAAGGGTCTTGAATATTTGATGATATATTATAAATCCTTCCTTCCTTTCATTTCATGTTTATAGCAATTTTGAATTTTGTATTGTTTGACTGTATTTTACTTATTTTTATAATTTTCTTTTCTACAACACTTTTACCTGATGACATAGAAGAAGCATAAATATATTTAAACAAATAAATAATACAAAATATGATTTTGGAGTACTTAAATTTGATGAATTTGTCTATCTTTTAAAAATACTGTTTCAATTTAATACACAATTATTACTATTATTTAGGCAATGCCACCTCTGGCTTGTGAGTATCATCGGCAACTGCAAGAAAACAACCGTAAAATTCAGCATCAGCAAGGACCAGAAGAGCTTCCATTTTAATTTTCTGTGCTTATATTACTATTTTAGATCAATTTAAAATGCTGAATGAATAGCTTAAAACTTAAGGTCAAATGGTTATATCTCTCCTTCTGAAATCCACAATAGTTAAAAATGTTAAACTTTTAAAATGCACTTGTTTCCAATAAATCTATTAAACTATTTTATTTGATTGTTAAATCTTTTAATAAAAATGTTTATTAGGGCCCAAGGAATGTTTTTTTAAATAACTAGCAAGTAAGATATATTTCACGTAGAACTATAAATGATATGCTCACTGATTTCTGAATGAAGGTTCCTGTACTAGATGGTCATTATGAGTGCTAAGTTAGATGAAACTACTCTATATAGACAACAAAGAATAGAATTTAACTACAAAAATAAAGCTTTTAGTAACTAGACTGAGTTGGAGAACTTATTCATGTTGCTTTTATTTATTTATTTAAAATAGGATGTTAATACAGGAGATGGGAGTGAATTTGTTGACAGTGGAATTGAGGGTGCAACGACAGACACAGACCTCCTGTCTAGACGTTCCAATGCGACAAATTCCAGCTACTCACCAACCACCAGCCGAGCCTTTGCTGGCAGTGACAGTGGCAGTTCTTCAACTGGAGATGGGGCACGTCAGGGAATCTATGAGAACTTTCGCCGAGAGTTGGAGTTGAGCAGCACCAATGACAATTTGGATGAGGCTGGCTCTACCCTGAGTGATGAACAGAGCAGTGGGACTTTGAGTTCCCCAGGACAGTCGGATATTCTTCTTACAGCTGGGCAGGGAACCGTAAGGAAGGCTGGAGCTCTTGCAGTGAAAAACTTCCTTGTCCACAAAAAGAACAAGAAGGTAGAGTTGGCCACACGGAGGAAATGGAAACAGTATTGGGTTTCCCTGAAAGGTACAGTGGATATATCTTGTTTATCTGCACATTACAAAAATATAGAAATGCCTAAAAATTACATAGAATTAATGAAGGCTTGCTTGGAAGTTTAAGTGTGTGTGAGAAATACTGTGTGTCGCATGCTATTTGTAAACAGATATCAAACCTGTGTATACCTGAGTGTGAAGGTTCGTTCTCCGAGCTTGTGGGTTGGTTTCCGAATGTTTCATTACCAGGCTAGGTAATATCTTCAGCGGAGTTTAGGGGGATGTTAGCGTTCTTCTATTTAGAAGGGCTTCAGGTGTGGGTGTGTTAAGTGAGGGTCTGTGATGGGTCTTGTGATGAGTCAGGTATGAGTTATCAGTGAGTCTTGTGATGGGGAGGTTACATCAGGTTAGAGTCATTGGGAGGTGAACACTGACATCCTCTAAACCATCGTATCGTGACTTTTTTGCCATTGCCAGCAATGGGATAGGTGCGGTTTTGTTATGATGCATTCGGCCCACGGGCCGGCAGTTTGACACCCCTGCCCTAAACTCTGCTGTAGATGTTACCTAGCCTGGTAATGAAATTTTCAGAAACCAACCCACAAGCTCAGAAAACAAACCTTCACCCTCATACTACACCCCATGTACCATTATTGCAAACCGTATATACCTTTTGCAGGTTCATTTTGTGAAGTGATCAATATTCTTCTCTGAACATACTGAGGTGTTGAAGGCTATACGCTCTTTGAAGGCTTAGTACATGTCTGTTTTGAGGGTCTTCCCTTCTTGTTTGGTGAGACGACAGTTCCACTAGGATTGCAACTGAAGCACAGAGGGCTTGGAGGGAGTCTTGGTCAAAGGCAGTATGACTAATTTGCCAAGCACTATTAAGTATAATAAATGCAAGCAAGAGTCTTTTGTTGTATGACTGGGTTTTTCTTTCTTTCTTAACATGTTTGGAGGTAACATAGTATGTTAGTATAGGTAGTCCTCAACTTTATGACCATAATTAAGGCCAGAATTGCAACTGTAAGTCATTGCAAATTAAGTCATCACATGGCCAGATCCAATTTTTCAACATTTTTTGTGGCAGTTGTTAAATGAACACCATGGTTGTTAAGCAAATCTGTTTTCTCCAATGGGTTTTTTTTGCTGGAAAACTGGAAGTAAATGCCACAAGCAAAAAATGTTGCATATTGTAATAAAGTGACCATGGGCTAGTGCAAAGGCCCATAAAAGTGAGCCAGTTGCTAAGTGCCCAAAATGAAGTTACATGACCGTATGCGTGCATGAATGTGTGAGCACTGTTGTAACTTCAAAAATAGGTCATGAGTAACTTTAGGGAGAGGTCTGTCACAACTTTGCATGTCATTAAGACACTGGTCATAAGTCATAAAAATTCAGTAGAAATTAATGCAAATGGGGATAATTGGATACCAATGATTTTAATGATGGCCTCAATTGCTAGTTTTTCACTGGGTAAACACTATCTCAAAATCAGCAATATTTTAAATTCATTTCCTTTATCAGTAAAAGCAAGTGTTACAAGCTGATATTTGATAGTAGTAATTTCAAAGGTTTAAAAATACCTTTATCCATGGATTAAAATGTAATTTTTGTATTGGGAAAAACTCCTTTGCTTTCGCAGAAAGAGTATCATATTGTGACAAATGATAAATAGTGTGAATTAACATTAGATCCCAATCCAAAGTACATTTATTTGGAAATAATCTCCTACTCATTATACTTACAATAACCTATAGTGATTGTTTTGGAATACATATGCCTAGTCTTGAATTTTTTTTCTGATTTTCCTACTATCTTAAGCAAGTGTAGTATAAATGTTTTGTTCGCATGGGCAATATGTGTGTAATTGCAGTTTTGGTTCTACTGCTTTTCCTTCCCAAGAGCACCTTTTCAACTACAACTTAATTTGGAGTAGATAATAGAAACCATAAGAGCTTCAACGAAACAGAACAGGATCTATAGTTTTGAACCAAATGATGCTTATTATTTCCCTCAGAAGACTGAGTAAACTTTAGGTCAGTGGTTCTCAACCTTTCTAATGCCGCGACCCCATAATACAGTTCCCCATGTTGTGGTGACCCCCAACCACTTATACATCACCGGGTGCCAGGGGCGTGACCAAAGAAAAGGGGGAAAATGGCGGACAACCTTATTTGGCGACCCCCGTGAAATGGTTGTTCGACCCCAAATGGGGTCCCGACCCACAGGTTGAGAACCACTGCTTTAGGTGAAACTCATATCGCCTTGGTCTAAATGAGAGGATTCCCATATGGTATTTCTAATATTAGGAGGTGCTGGTGCTGGTGGTGAGAGCATCAGAATGGAACATGGCTCAAGGCAGATCAAAGAATAAGGGACATGGCAGCTAATTTCTCTATGGAATTATTCTAAAAAAAATCAGCATTGAAATGCTAGTTAATAGCCAGATCCAAGGGATGGGGGGTGGGTCCTATGGGTCCATTTTTTCATAGCAAGGTCAGCCTGAAGCCTATAGAAGCTGAATGTATATACAGATAGACCTTGACTTACAACCACAATTGAACCCAACATTTCTAAGCAAGACAAATGTTCAGTGAGTTTTGTCCTGTTTTACAATCTTTTTGCCACAGTGTTAAGTGAATCACTGAGATGTTAAGCTAGTAACATGGTGATTAAGTGAATGTGGTTTCCCCATTGACTTTGCTTGTTAGGTCTCAAAAAGTGATCACATGTCCATGGGATGCTACAACAGTCGTAAGTGTGAAAAACAGTCATAAGTCACTTTTTTCAGTGCCCTTGTAACTTTGAGCTGTACTATGTTGAGGCCTATCAGTAATAGCTTTGCTTGCATTACAGCTGAGTCCAGAAAAACTGATCAGTTATGGCCAGTTAAGGATTGGAGAGAGCAGTGATTCGTTTAACCCAAGCAGTGTGCAGGAAAAATGTGATAGTGTGACACAAATAAACCCAGCCATCTGGAGAGAAAGAAAAGGGAAAGGATGATTAGAAAAGAGGTATTAAAGTGTGACTCAGATTGGATTACTGAGGTTTAGTAAAGTCAGTATTTAAGCTTTGAAATTAACAACTGCTGTGTCTTGCTGACAATTTTCTGAAGTCTTGGGTTAACCTGGTAACTGTATAACTTGAAAGTAGACAATATACATTAAATTGAAAAAAATGATCTGAAACTCTGAAACTAATATAAACTTTAATTGCATCCTTACAAGCTATAAGAGTCTAGCCTAACTGAAAAATTGGGGTTTTTTTAAACTTGAAACTGATCATTAGCTAAAATATTATGCTAGTGTTTGTTCCCTTTCAGTGAGGTTAGATCAGGCCACAACTTTTTTTTTTCCAGAAAATTCTCATTATTTACTTTAAGTCAGCTTGGGATATATGTTTCAAGGGTGTGTATCTTCTTTTGCACATCTAATTACCCCCAAATGATTTTGTTTTAGGAACCAGTGATTATATCTGCTGGTTCTTTCATTATTTGATTTTATTCATAGAAAGGCAGGACAATATTACTTGTGCAGATGGGTAAAAAAAAAAGGTTGTTTAACTTATGAAAATACATTCTATTTCTCCTTGCTAACTCTGACCAAATGGGCTCTAGTCCCCAAAATTTAATGACAATCAAGAGGTGCATTAAAGAGATATAGGACTCCTTCAGTATTATGCACACATGTTTCTCTAGTACAGGAGATGGAGAATCCACCAATGGGTTTTCTCTGTCTGCCTGCTCTTGAGACCAAATAGCCAAAACTTGACACGCCCCCTCTTGCTAGAGGATCCATTCTTAACTTGGTCTCAGCTCTTGAAGACTCGTTTTGGCGTGGCTCTCAGCTATTTCAGGTTAGACAAAGCAACCCATTGGTGCATTCTCCCTAAATTATTGGCTATCCTTTTAAAAAATTTTTACCTTCCCTAACAATTCCCCACAGGCTCTGAGATCATCTCTGATCTCAAATTAATTAAAAGGTGGGGTGTGGGGGGGATTTCCTCCAGCTTCCCATCCCATTTCCAGGGCTCTGGGTGGGTGGGGGAAGAAGGCATCAGCAGAGATTACTTGCTGTGCCTTTCTCCCCAGCCTCCCAGGGTTTCTCCCCAGTTTGGGGGAAAATTTAATGACAATCAAGAGGTGCATTAAAGAGATATAGGACTCCTTCAGTATTATACACACATGTTTTTCATCTATTTTCATCTATTCTATCTGTCAGTGTAATGTAGATTTTTAAATTAGGATAACAAGTCTGACTCATATTCCTTTCCCCATATGAAGTGGCTTTATCTTTGCTTAATAGTGGCATTCCCTTTTATGCATTCCTTTGCAATTAGATACTCCTTTGAGGATCAGAACTCTATCAGGTTAATTTATTTCCAAAGGAAAAAAGAACTCATGAGAAATCTTAAATAATTGTTTCCACAGAAGACTTTTGTTCTTTATATTTCTCTTCTTCCTTTTGAGGATTTCATCCACTCCATCCAACATGACTTTCTCAGACTTCTACTTCCTTTCTATCCATTGACTTGTTCTTCTTTCATATACATATTTTGCAGTTAAGTCTTCATTCATATACTCTGTATGACCAAGCCATTTCAATGTGCTTATTTCATACTGGTCACTCACTTCTATACAATCCACATTACTTTCATATAATAAAGTGGACAGAGGTGCACTGTTATGCAGAGCCCTCTTTACTTCTTATGGACAATCATTTCTTACAACAAACCACATTGCTATCTTTCTATTAAATCTTTAAAAAATTAAAGTTTTCTATCTTAATACAGCATCATCTGCATACAAAAATGTAATGCAGTCATAGCATTCTTTTATTCATAAATTTGTGAACTAATCAAGAAAGACATGTACATGTCAAGGTTGTGGCAGTTGTTTTAACTCAAATGCAGGGTTCCCACAAAGATTTCTTCAAGCAAATGTGTTGTTGATATGTAGAGAACCAGACTGTCTCTAAATTAGATGCATAAAATAGTATTAGGATGCTCAGTGTAAAATTGGGCTTTGTTTGAACCTTTTCCTACTGCCCAAAATATGCCATTACCATTGTCCTTACTATTCTGAAAGAATGCTACGTGTGGTCCAGAAACTGGTAACATGGTTTCTATATTGTACTTTATGCATCCCTGTATTACTAAAAGTGTTATGTGAAATGTGATTATTGTTACCATGTATGCTGAAAATTCTGTTAATACTGGTCATTATATTGTCAAACTGGCATTAGCTCTGAACAAAAGGTGGGGAATCAAGATATTGGTGATTTTTAAGTTTGTCAAAAATCCAAGTTTTTAGGGGAAACACTCTCAGTCCATAGAAGGCGCAACATGCTTGGTGAACATGGAATACTAATTGTTGATTGAATAGGAATGGCAAATACTGTATATATATTATAATGCATGAAATGGAACATACTGAAGCAGGACATGGCTAAGTGAATGAAATAGTAGATATACACAATCCACAGCAGACCATGCTTGCTTGCTTATTTATTTATTAGAACTTGTACGGGCTATTATTTCTATTGTTTCATCATTCTGAATGCTGGCATTACATAAATCTGAACGATATTCTGCTAGCTGTATTATTTTGTTAGATACATAGGTTGCTAATAAGTTGCTGTTTTTCTCAAGGTTGTACTTTATTCTTCTATGAAAGTGATGGCAGATCTGGGATAGACCACAACAGCATCCCAAAACATGCAGTCTGGGTGGAAAACAGCATAGTGCAAGCAGTACCTGAACATCCAAAGAAAGATTATGTCTTTTGCCTCAGCAATTCTCTTGGAGATGCATTTCTCTTTCAGGTTAGTTCCCTCCATGTTGTTGTGGCTGCTGATGCTGTTGATTTCCTTCTTGACCTTATCCTTCAAAGAAAGCCCTGGATGATACTTCAGCAGTTGAAGAGGGCACCTAATTATTGACCTGCTTAATTACTTATAACTGTATAAATTATAATCACTATTGATATTTAGGGTTTTTCCTTTATTCACTACCCAGAGTTTCATTGCATAGATAAGTGGTGTAGACAGATATCATAGATAACTTTGGGTTCATTTTATAAATTGGGCTCATCCAAAATACATAGTGCTATGATGTAACCAAATGCTGGGGAACTTTATGCAATTTAAAACCGATAGGAATTTGTTTCCAGGTGGTTTTTTTTTTTTTTTTTGGCAAGACCAGACTACATCATATCATTTCATGGTTATCCTGTGATATATTTGGGGCTCATGTCTTCCATAATAGTATTAGTAGTAATAAATAAATAAATATTAATAATAATACCACCTTACTCACAACTGCCTATATACTGAAACATTACCTAAACAGTTCTGAGGTCCTTGATTAGGAATTGAACTGTTAAGTTTTTACCAGTCCCAGACTGTGAATTGAATTGAAGACTAAATATAGGGAGTCCCCAAGGTACGAGCCTAATAGAACCTGCCCATTAGGCTCATAATCGCCAAATGAATCAGATTCAATATTACAACATTTTAAAATCAAACTTATTAGTTGAATCAAATGGGTCATTAAATGAACAAAGATTTGACTTACTATTTCCTCCAATGGCTGCCTGAACTGAGAAACTTTTCCTGCCGCTGCTGCAGGCTATTTCCAGCCACCAAACAGCTGTTTCCGGTTTCAGTAACTACAATACTGTAACTGCAAAAAAAACCATTTGTTACTAGACAGCTCAAGCTTCTTCAGAGGGGTGGTGGTGGTGGAGAACTTTACAATTGCAGCTGCCACTAAAGTAATTAGCTTTAGCGTCTCCAGGCAGGCATGCAGGGAAATGGGAGTGGAGTTTACAGAACTGTTGGCTTGCAATAGTAACTGAAATGGAAGGGACCTTGAGGTCATCTAGTCTAACCCACTACTCTCACAAGAAAGTACAGTATTGCACTATATTTTTGATAAATGCTGATCCAGTCTCTGATTAAAAGCCTCCAGTGAGGAAACACCCACAACTTCTGGAGGCAATTTAAATTTAAAACTTTAAAAAAAAAACCAAACAAACATTGCCCCTGATCAGCATAAGCCTCTCCAGGCAGAATTCTGGTGGGTCTGTGCTAGGGAGAGGAGGCAGCAGCAGTCACATACTATTAGTTTCAGGCAAATGCAAACGAACAATCTTGCTAAGTACTGCACTTACAAGCACAATAAAAAGCAGAGCAGTTCCCAAAGTGATTACAAACAATACACTACAATGCAATATAATACTATACAGTAGAATATTTTAAAATACTTACGGAAGTAATTCTAGCTCTCTACAGTAGTCCTCAAGCCCAGCAAGCAGCAGATCTTCCATGCAGCTCCAGGAAAACAAAAACAATAATCACCGGATCTTGTTTGGCCATGTGACCAGGCACCAAAAACAAAACAAAAAACCACCCACTTCTGGTTTCTCATAGGCCTGAACTGACCCAGGCAAGTCACAGAGTTAAAATGGCTGCTGTAGCAGCCAAGACTGATTCCAAGTCACATGGCTACAGAGGCCTGTTTTTGATCGCAATTTTGAATTTCTAATGTAAGTACTGCTTCTGAATAACCTCATTTTTGTGAAATCTCGCTAAATAAACGCTCGTATCTGGGGGATTACCTGTACTAACAACAACAACAACAACAACAATACATTAAGAGACTGAAAAAGATCTTAAGATACTAGACTGGACTCAAGCAGAACTAAAAGCAATAGATAGGAAAATCAGAAAAATAAATGAATCATGCCTTCATCCTTGCAGCGACACTGATAGACTGTACCTACCAAGGCAAATAAGTGAGCAGATGGTTGAAGAAGAAAAAATTGCTTTGGAAGAATATCTGAAGGACAATGATGAAAATGCACTAAAGTTAGTACATCAGGAAGGCTTACTGACTACTGGAGAGACCAAACTGGCCTACAAAAAAGACCAAATGCAGAACAGAATGGAAGCATGGAAAGACATTACATTGCCAGTACATTAAAAAAAAATAGCAGGGAAAGCAGATAATAACAAGACCTGGCAATGGCTAAGAGCAGGAAAGTTGAAGAAAGAGATACAAGACTAAGCCTTAAGGATAAATGTATACAAAGCCAGAATTGAGAAGACAGCAACAGACAGTAAGTGACTCCTATGCAAAGAAGGTAAAGAAATAATGGACCACCTGGTAAGCTGCTGCAAGAAGATCGCACAGACTGACTATAAGCAGTGGCATGACAAAGTAGCAACAATGGTGTATTGGAAGATCTGCAAGAAATATAATTTGCCTGCAAGCAAGAACTGGCTGGACCATAAACTAAAGAAAGTTATAGAAAATGAAGAAATTAAATTGCTCTGGGACTTTAGAGTTCAAACAGACAGGCATCTGCCACATAACACCCCAGACTTAACAATTGTTGATAAGAAAGACAAAAAAGTCTGGATAGTAGATGTGGCAGTGCCTGGAGACAGCAGAATAGAAGAGATAGAACTGGAGATGATAACAAAATACAAAGACCTACAAATAGAAATAGAACGACTGTGGCAAAGGCAAGCAAGGGTAGTACCAATAGTAATAGGTGCCTTGGGTGCAATCCCAAAACAACTGGAGCACCACTTGGACACCATTGGCATTGACAAATTTGCCATCAGTCAACGATCCTGCAACGATATCTGTAACACCATAAAACATCCAGATCTACCTATCCCAGGTCCTTGGTAAGGATTCAATAGGTGGACAAAAATGCCAAACCCAGTCTGAACATCTGGCTGACTGCCATGATCAATAATAATAATAATGTTGGACCTCAAAAGTGTAGAAAACATGTATTTAATACCTACATTTAATATATCGGGAAAAATAACATTAGAAGCCATAAAATATTTTACTGCAGTTCTATAAACAGTACTTGGGATATTGTTTATAACTCTTCTCTGCTCTGCTTTCAAGTGTGCATATATCTTTTGCATCAAAGAAAAAAATTGCCTAAAGGCATCATAAAATATTTTTTTGTAAAGGTTTACTTTTTTAGATGGAGAGATACTCTTCTATTAAAGAATAGGTATAGCACTGTTTTTCCAACCAGTGAGCAATTTCAGTTGTGCATCTGCCAAAAATCTCTGGATATTGCTGAAGATTCTGAAATACTGAGTTGGGGTACTAATTCATGTGGGTTTCAGCCTATTTGATTTTTGCATAGCCTGCATGAATTGAGGAGCATCCTAAAGCTGACATTCTTGGTTTTCTGCATATTTATACTTGTGCTCATTCATGTCTTAGCAATTTTCAACTCTGTTGACCAAGATGTCCTTCTGAGCTGGCTCCACAGGTTGGGGATTGCATGAACTGTTTTATAATAATTCTCGTCCTGTCTCTGGGATCAGTTCCAGTCATGAGGGTGAGGGAGAGATTGCTCCCTAGAATCCTCTTTTATGGGATGCTTCAGATTCTGTTTTCTCTCTCATTCTTTTCACTATCTACATTCAATCACTCTGCTGATTTGGAGTTTAGTATCACCTGTATGCTGATGACACCAAATTATATCTTTTGACCCTGGTCCGGCCAAGTGATACTGTCAAGATTCTGCCCCAATGCCTAAAGACCGCGATGGGATGCAACCATCTCTGATTCACTTCTACCAAGTGACTTTGAATTTTGGGCTGCCCAGATTTGGGGATATTTCATCTCTAACCTTGCACTTCACCATTCAAGGATAGGGTGCCATTTGAACTGAATTCAGAGCTCCTGCTCAATGAGCAAGTGGCAGCTGTGGCCAGGTGAACTTTGCAAGGCTTCATCTGGTATGCCAGTTGCACCCTTTCCTAGATCAAGGGAGCCTTTAGTCAGCTATGACTTACTTACTACAATGTATTCTATATGAGGCTGCCCTTGAAGATCACCCAGAAGTGTCAACTGATCAAGAAGAGGGCAGTGATGGGCATGTCTTGGGATATTCATGTAACCTTTTGCTTGGCAAGCTGCGTTTGTTGCCAGCTAGTTTGCAGATATGATTCAGGGTGTGATTCAAGGTGGTTTGTCATTACCCTACAGGGCATAGGGTTTAGTTACTTGAGAGACTGCCTGCTTTCTGTAATATCTGCCTGGCTGCTTCAGTCTGGCAGGGTTGGCATGCTCAAGGTATCTTTGATTAACTAATATCATCTATCAGGACCCCAGAAGTGGTCTTATCTATAGCAGTGCCTGCCCTCTGGAATGAGATTTGAATGGCCCCCACCCTACTGGTGCCTTGAAGGGCCTTGAAAGCCCAGATGTTCATCCAGGCCTTTGGCAAGGATGGGAAAGGATGAGAAAAGTCCCCTTTGGATTGCATGGTTTTATTTTGTTTGTCTGCTTTTCACCATCTTTACTTTTCTTTTTTTTCCTCTTTTTTTCTTATTTTTAATTTGTAAATTATCAGGATACTGTCAGTCATGTGGTATACACATGTATTTAATAAATTACTGTTAGTAATTATTATTTTATTATTATATTGCTAAGGAAGATTAGTAGTGAAGGGCAAAGTATCCTTCAGTGAGTTTATTTTTGTTTCAGTACCAATCTGATTCCTAATAAGTCTGTAAAGATACAAAATGTTTTCAAAAAGAAGGTTAGAAAACAATGGGCCAGATAGCTGTTAAATACATAGGGGCCCTCCTAGTGCTAAGCCAATTATAATGTTTTGTTTTAATTCATATCTAAATATGAAGTCATTTCTGTCACCGGTATATCTATCAGGTCTTCCTTCCCTCTCTTTCTCCTAAGATTTAGGAGAGAAATTGTGGGTAGGAAGAAATATATAAATATAACATATTATGGTAGAATTAATCTGCATATTATTATACCTCCCCAATTTTGATTTGTAAAAATTTATAAAAATATGCATTATAATTTAAATGTAATAATTTACCTTTGCCCACATAATTCATGAATATTTACAATAGCATATAAATGGTATCAAGTAGCGTATAAAGTTAATACAAAAGTCTTATTTATGAGATGTTATTGTTTATAATTTCAGATATAAAGATCCTTGACCATTTTCATCTCATTCAGGACTTCAATATGTAGCAGAAACTGCTGATGAAACTAAATGCAAAACAAAACTGTAAAAATATTGCTACTTAGCATAAGCAAAGAATAGATGTTATTGTGGGTTCAGAGATAACTTTGAAGAAGGCACATAATAGTAATTACAAAAGCATCAAAGAAGGAAAGACTGGAGGAAGTGAGGAAGAGACTCAAGCTTGTCCTTCCTTGACTCTCTTTAGCATAAGAAGGAAGGAGAAAGAAACACTGTCAAGATTCTATTATTATATTACATAACAGTAACATTGAGCTTATATAGTTCTTCTGGTGTCTATTTCCTGACCTACCTCAAAGAACTGACACAATTTTTGCTGCCTTGCCTCCAAATATACTCCTACTGATTTCCTCTTTAGACAGGCAGCTACCATGGATACTGTGCAGATCCATTAAATTTGAAAGACATCTGGTGTTAATCAGATGCCTGTGACATCTTAAAATGGCATGCTCATGTTTCAAGTACATACATTTCTTTATAAGGTTTTACATTTTTTTTGGAGGCAGAATAATAGAAAACTAAATTCTGCTTAGTTTGCAGTAGCTCAACCCTCCTACTTCACTTAATTCTGAGACAACTTAAATAATAGTTACATTCCCTTTCTGTCACTGACCAGTCAAAACACTGATAACTGAATTTTTTGATGCAGTAAAGCATTGTAATTTAAACTTCACTTACAGTTGTCTATATCCAATGTCAACCAGAATTGTTCGGCTTTTTCCAGCTAATGAAGCTTGTTATGTGCTCCTTCCATAGTTATTCCATATCAATTCACCTAAAACAGCTATTGTTATTATAGTTGGTCACACAGTCAGTCAGATGCTTAGACTAAATTTGGCATTTTTATCCACCTATTGAGACCTTCCCAAGAACTTGGCTTGTCATATTGTTATTATTTCCCCATTATTTAGCTTGTTTACTGAAGGTTATTGCATATTTAGATATGAATAAGGAAGTATGTGGGCAACAGACTATGTTTCTAGAAATGGAGACATTATTCAGTGAAATCATCATATTTTTTAAAATATAAAACAGGTGAAAGAAAAGTGATGAAAGGGTTAATAAATATTAGTATGTAGTTAACAGATTTCTGGGTAGGACTTTGAATCTTAGTTATTTGTAAAATTGTGTGTGTGTAGATCTTAAAAATAGATCCAGAAATAGACTCTCTGTTCCCTTTTTTACACGCACGATCTAATTGCAAGTTTTCTCATGCATCTTCCAGTTATGTCTGCACCCAAATTAAGTATAGTTAAGGGTTACAAGAACTTACCCTTAACTGAAGATTTAGAAAGGGGTTTCAAATCTCATACATCTTTTCTTTTCTTTTTAATGGCAATGATATAATGC